ATGGTGCTCTATTTTCGACAAACTTCAGATCCTCAAGAAGCGCTCTGATGAACTTTAAACTTACAGCCAATAATTTGATTCCCAGCTCGTTAATGGCATCGACAATAGCATCCTTTGGAACGGGCAGGTTGCCTCCAAAGCCTCCCTCATCCGGCTCGGGAGCTCCTCCATCCTGATACCCCCCAAGTTCAGTCAAGTCAATGTGATAATAATCGTATAAGATCGGATGCCACGAGGATTCGTCATGACCAGAAGAACTTTGCGAAAAAAACACCACCAAGCCGGTCAAGAGTAGCACTATATGAGGTGTACGCATTGCGCGGATTCTGCCTTTGCACTGGTTGCTGCTCTGGTGCTTCGCGGATGGACAAAACAATGGGGCTCGATGCCATTTAATCGGCCCAAGTCTTAATTGTGGGATTGCGGTGTTTTACGAAGGCTGAAGAAGACGAGATGTGAAACACACTCTTCCAGCGCAATGATTCGTACTTGCATTCCACACGCGCATTGTCCAGCAGTTTCAATTGAAACATTGCCATTCTTCTTCTGATGCTTTCAAAAATCGGGGTTTTTCAAGAATATTAGCCCATCTTCAACTTCATCTCAACCGCAAGTGCGAAGCACTGCGTAGACCCATCGTTTCGTCCATAATTAACAGGTTTTTCGGTCTTTGCACTGTGAGGATTCATTAAGAAACAAGTTTAAAGACTATTTAGGTGTCTTCGAGACACAAAAGACCGGCAATTAAGCTGCCGGTCGATGATGGTTATCATTGGGAGCATGGAGCATTTCTAGCGTTTTAAAATGATTGTTAATTGCTGGATGGATGTCAAAGACCATCATTACTTTGAAATTAAACCGCTGAATGCGGTTGAAAACAAAATTGTCAAGGCTTCAGTGTCGAAACATGTCGCCGTAATGATGGGTTTGTTTGAAATGTGCATGGATGCAGCAAATGTGTAATTTTTGTTTAAACACACATTTGTGTGATTTGCTGAAGATTACCTGTGATTTGTCTAGCTGATCTAGTCGAAAATAATTCTTTCTGGAAACATGCCAATTCCAACGGGCTGGACAACATGAAATGTTGGCATAATCTTGAAGCTAAGTGTTTGATATTCAAATTTCGCTTTCTGGGCCAAAACTATTCGAATTTCCTCACTCACATTGTTACGACTAAGTCGAGTTTTCAATTCTCTGTCCAACTATGCCAAAACGAATTCTGTGGCTCGAATGGTTCTTGAGAAACCTTGAAAAAAGCAGCGTGATGTTCAAGTGGATTTTGCAACTCAAAAAAAAACCACGCAGATCTAAAACTTCTTGAATTCAAGCCTTTTTTGAGAAAACTGCCAACATTTCCCCATCCATGGTTCACTTTCTAAAAAGGCCATTTATTTCTGCGTAGAATGATGTACAAATGAGCGTTCTTGCTCATTTTCCTTCCGAGAAATGGTCCGCCCCTGCCTCGTGTATGACTGAAACAAATTGATATCTGATGATGATTTTTGATTTTAAAACATGCGGAACTCTTTATAAAAAAAATGTTAACGAAAATCTGTAATAGAAAGCTCATTCTTCCGGCATCATCAAGCTTCTTCATTAAAATCTGGCCCAAAATGTTGAAAATCTTCATTCACTTTTCCTTTCCATTTGAAACCGCCAAGTTTTGCGAAGTGTTGCAGCAGACAAATTGGCCCGGACTTTAGAAACTCTCTTACCAACGACTCGAAGCAATTTATTGAAATATGTCCATTCAATTTGTTTTACAAAAACTCTGCAGGGCGCCAAATGTAAATATTCAAATTGCCCGTATTGCTGGTTGCCGACAGCGAGCGGGACAAACGCCGTCAGACAATTGCGCATGTTTGGAATAAAATGGCGATCGAATTATCAGAAATTTTCTGCCATTTTTGAAATCCCTAAAAATCTCCCGTATAAATGGCGTAAACAGTGAATTTTCGATTGAACTGTAAATTGTATATAGTTTTTTGTACAGTTAGTGGTAATCTTTTGTGTTGTGACATCCATCATAGTGTAAAAATTGTGATCGATTATTGTGTTTGTGTACAGTGGGAAAAACTGATCCGAAGCCGACGCCGAGCCGTTGAACATTGAATTGTTCGAATAATACGAATCGTCGATGCTCAGAATTTGACTCAGACTGCGAAAGGTAAATGTTCTTCTGAGCCACTCGATTCAATTCAGTTCAGAGCCGACGGTTGCCGACTTTTCTTTGTGTTAAAATCATTGATTGTCATTCGCCATTAATTGTTTCTTGCCGGGATTCTGAAATGTCATCCTGTAAACAACGACCGATTAATCCAATTTCGACTTAATTTACCATCAGCAAACTAAGCGGAATGTAATTTGCCTGCTATAAACTATCCGAAGCAACCATAGAAAACACCTCATCTCTATGGAAGCCGCCGTAAGTTTGATGGGCAAGTTTTGTTGTTTGCCTTGCTCAAATAGATCCAAACATTTCTCAAACTATTGATTTTTATAGCAACTTCATGGTTGCACTAGCTTAGGCCATCATATTCTATCTAATACCTACTAGTGTTTACCTAGCAACAACTTTTCATTGGTTTATTCTCTAATATTTTGTTTATTGTACATGTACAACATAACCCCATTTTTCCATTATACTTTTATGGCTTTAATGATTTAACTTTTTTAACAAACCACTGCTGAACCTTCCAAACACTCCACATTATGAATGCACCTAAAAGTTCGCCTTTCTTCATTATGTACTAAGGGGTCAGAGTTGGCTGTGTATAGCGCATGTTACTGGGTAGATTTTTTAATTATTCAAGCCTAATTGTTGGATTTTTTCGCAATTTTGTCAAACAATTTCAGTCTGCACACAAGTAGATCCATATATTTGATAAAACCTTAGAGCCTGCACGCTTCACCTTTGTTATAGGTTAACTGACGACTGTTCATATGCATTGTTTGCCCTTGTTTATCTATTGTCATTCGCTAATATAAAATAGCCTTGTAAAAGTACGTGATTCAGATAGGAATCAATACAGCATGTTAAACGAATCAAACTAGCTCTGAAGAAATTCATGGAACGTCGGTAATTAGATCGTATGTGTATCCATCACTCATTGTATAGCTGATTGTTGTTGACAGTTCAGCAAGCTATGCCAAAGGACTTTCAAATTAACATATCAATCTAGCAACACTGTATGAAAGGCCCTATATTATTTGATTTCTTTAAAAAATGAAAAGCAGTCAGTTTGGGCAACACGGCTCATAGCGAAAAACGTAAAAGCAATTTAGCCTGGGAAACAGACGTAGCTTGTAGACAATTTAACGGGCCACAAATAAGCTAAACCTCCCTGTGTGTCACCCTGTAGATAGATAATAGAAATGAACTTTGTGGAAACTACATACCTATCCTATAATTGGCAAATTCCATTCAAAAAATGGGACACTATTCTAGTCGTTTGATAAACAACCGACAAACTGCTGTTTGGTTTTCATCGGAAACTCCTTTTTTCCAGAAAGAGACAAATGAAGTGGCTTGGTAACAACGGAGGTGTGGCAGAAGTAGATGGCATTATGAAGTCAAACATGGATAATGCCAGTAATGTGATTGGGGGCCCGCAGCGCACGCAAGACGATGCTGCAGTTGGTTACGTGTATCAACGGCCACCCGATCCAGAATTTCCGCCTTTCGGACCCAAACAGCTGCGTTGGGCCCATGGAGATGATGCTATCATTGAAGTAACCAAAACCCAATCACGATCATTTTCCATCAAGCTTATGTTGAGTATCGTTTTCAGAATCACGACAAGTGGAAGTATCCGTCTGTAACACAAGGAACAACAGCTGCCGGTTCACCTTCGATGCAAGGTCCCAAAATACCCACACCTCCAACGGGAATACCCACTGGAGCACATTACGGCGCAGCTTTACCTTCGTCCCTATACGACTTGAACCCGCATAGGTAAGCATGGGGCGAATAGTCTGTAGCTGAGCGACTAACATCGTTGCTTCGTGTTCCAGCAAGCCTCATATGGCGCAGCTGGGCGGCGAGCAGCTAATTTACATGCCGGGCGGGCATCAGTTGGCCGCCCATGGACATGGTGGTCTCTCTTTACACCACCATTATTTGCAGCAGCAAACTCAACTGGCAGTTCAGGCAGCTCAGCAACAGAGCCTCAGACAAGTTCAGCAACAGGTACGCGCATAGTTTTAGTCAATTAGGAATTGCGATTTTATGCATTGTGGTTGATCATTAAAGTGTACTCTTCAAAACTTCAATGTATAACTTTTCCAGACCTGATTAAGTCTTACCTTCCCGGGGGTTTCACACAGGTTGAGTAGTTGCCGGTGTTTCGCTTATTGCAAGCAAGTTGATTGTTCTGGGAAAGTGAAAGTGGTCGCAATGGGTGTTTAAATGTTGAGCGCAGGCGGGTTTTCCATTTTGAAGTTGAAGAATGGTTCCATCTCAGCTTTCCTTTAAGTTTGCACTTCCCAACCGGCAAAGGAAACATTTCATAATTTTTGGAGTTCTCATCTCATTTGCAAAGTCAGAGTTGATATGGTCCATGGACGACTTGGCAGCGTTCCAATCCTAAATAAAGATGTCTCCTTAACATTTTCCAACGTCTGAGGCGACGCCGACCTTAACCCAACCTTTACCAGTGGAATAACATCTAAAGGTGTTAGTTCAGGATGATGGGCTGGACATATCAGAGATTTTTTCTTTTGGAGTCATTGATGAAAGGTTAACTGAATGTATTCGTTTTTATGATGCTCCAGCTTGTTTCACCAGCATGTACGTGAAAGGTAAATGTGGCCGAAAGATTGATGACAAGAGTTTATGGTCTTCACGAAGTGTTTAACTGTGAGCTGGACTATGAATTATGATATATTTTGCCTTTGGAAAAATTTCTTTTTACATTTTGCAACAATATTTTGGAAAACCTTTCAGCCGACATGCCTGGACCGTTCCGTATGAGTAAAAGTTTGTTCGGTGCTCAGGCGAAAAATCGATAGCAAGGGACCGCTTTCGTATTATTATTGAACCAAAAATTGACCTGGTCGCTTCAGGGGGGGCGGGGGTTATGTGGAAAAAATACAGTCTTCGGTTGTCTATGAAATTAGAAAAATTATCGCCGTTTTGTGCAAGGGTGGCGTAAGATTGTTGCAAAATTTCATGTTTTTCGTCCCGTTTTTGCTCATATCTCGGAGGCAAAATGAGCAAGAACGCTCATT